TTTTAAATTTTTTTTCTTTCGTTTTTTATATTTTTACATTTTTTTTTTTTTAATTTTTTCCCCTGGGGGGGGGGTTTTTTTTTCTCTTTTTTTTGCCTTTTCTTTCCCCCCCCCGGGGAATTTAGTCAAAAAATTTTAAAATTGTTAAAACCCCCCCCCTTTGCCCCCCCCCCCCCCCCCCCCCCCTCACGGGGTTTACATTGATAGGTGCATAACCCGTGGGGGTGCGGGGGAGAGAGTCCACCTAACAATAGCACATTAGAATCCAGCGCATTTCACTCATGAGATATAGACAAAAGGTTATGAAGTTATCTGCGTTAATGCACCCCAATTCAAACGAATGATATTTCACTAAAAAGGCCTAAAACTTCCCTACCATACTACTTTTCTAGCATCCAGATTTTTTTCTCTTTAAGATATATTTTTCATGTAGCCATAACGAGTGAAAGACAACAATAACAGAACGGGGTCATCGTTCTTGTTTCATCGAAAAAAAAAAACACAACAAAGGGACAATTTCGGCTTTAAATGATCGTTTTTCCCGAAGGACTGGTGCATGTTTCAAGACTAGCACCTTTTTATCTCGGAAAATTGATCACAATTGCTATTAAAACCATTTCGACTACAAGAGCGGCCTTCGTTACCTGCTTTTAGTCGGCCGGTGAATATCATCGCTGCGCGGTGCAAAACAAGGGAATTACCTTAAGTAAGGATTTAGAGGCGGGTGTCCGTCAAGCGAGGTTTAATCCGTGCACTCTGTTATTACAGATTCATCAAACATTTTGCTTTGCTTAAGATTTGCACGAAATAGTTCCTTCAAGAATAAACAAATAGAACATGAGTTGATTCATAAAATCTTTTAAGTGCCGTGTATCTAAAGTTTCTTGGTCTCCCACTTTTCCTGCTCATTGATCAGAGTCACTGAATTATCCGGCCGAAAGAGGCTCAGTAAGGATTGGCCAGCTGCTGGTGGAGGTAACACTTTTTCTTCAGTGTAGAAAAAAAAGATCTAAACGTAACAAAAGCAAATAATAGCCTACTAGGCTTTTAAGTCGTTTGTACCATGTCCATTCAATAGAGTTTTTTTTCTTACGATATTTGACAAAGGCACAGCTACTTCTGTAACAGGTCTGTTCAGCACTTGGACAATGCAATCAACGTTACGGATCCGTTGAGTGAACCTTGAACAATATCAAACCAAGCAAGCACGTTTCCACTTCTAGAATATGCATTACATAAAAAGAATAAAGCCAAGTCATTGATTTCTTGTAAAGGAATTACGTAGTTCCACAGCTGAACATTTGTCAGTTCTCCAATGAAACTCTGCTTTTGATCAAATCCACCCCCTGGTTTATCTTGTTCTTGACCGAGCACCAACACTCCTCCTCCTGAAATTGTGTAACCTCGAAAGAATAGAAATCAAGACCGTAATACAGAATCACTAACCAAAAATATACTATATTAGCTTAAAGTCAAAATTAGAACGAAGCTAGTAAAGTAGATACTGGCGACCAAAGACAAACGTTTTTCATACATTGCAAAGTGGTTAATCAAAGGGTGGTTATTCAATATGCACTAAAATGTCTCCTACCTTGAGACCGAAATGTTGCCAAACTAGAAATAACTACCTTTCTGTAAATTAGTCCCAGAAGCCTTAGCTATACCATCCTTAAGTAGCTGCCACGAACCAACAGTATTCTCCCAAGTGGAACAGATATGGTGCCATCTCCCGTCCGTTGCGCGCACATTCGTGGTTCTAAAGGAAAAGATAATGAATGGTTGCACCAGGAACTCATTTTTTCTAATAAAGAAATTAGAAAGTCCAAGCAAACATTATTTATTTGACAACATAGTGATCAGATTGACCCACGAATTGTTGTTCGATCTAGTCCGGTTATTATAGCAATATTCATTGAAGTGAGGATGACACTTGATAGCCAAGGGGTTATTTTAAATTTAGTCGTCATTTTTTTTCGACGGTAGACCCACACTGATTTGCATATATAATCTAGGTATGTTATCCAAGTCAAGCTGCAGTCTAGGCTGTGAACAGGCCTTTGGTCGAGCGGGGAACTGGGGAGAGGGAAAAAGCGAAAAGGCCCGCAGACAAACATCTGGGACCGCCGTTCCACGGCACCCGCTGTGCATCAGATCCTCATGCCAGCGAGAACGCGAGAACACTGACTGTCGACAGGTCTGATTGACATCGGCTTTTTTATCCGTACGAAGCTCGCGATTTGATCACAAATTGGCAACAACAAAACACACTATCTTTAGAAAAACGCTAAGCTGGAGTTTACTGAGTCACAATGCAATTCTCCATAGTTGATGTAGCTTCGGTTTAAGCGGCACTTCAATCTTATAATTTGGATCTGTAAATCACCATCCATGATAATTTTTTTTTTTGCAAAGAAAACTAACTAGCTGGGTCCAGCGTGATACAACATTGCAGAAACACATTTCATTCACGGACTAAGGAAAATCGCTTAGTTATTCAGATCCAGAAGGCACTTTGGAGAAAACTAAGACCCTTATTCAGCCGCAATAAAAAGCTTTACGCTTCAAAAGAGGTCAAAGAAAATGCTCTTTCAGCAGAGGGCAATTCCTGCCGACCAAAAACAAAAACCACAGTAAATCGATGTGTGCCATGACCTCTTAGTGTGAAACAAGCGGCTGAAATAACATTTGCTCAGTGAAAATGTAGAACCTTCCACCTAGCAGAGGAAAAAACTTATGGGAACAAGCAGCATTTTGGCATGAGGTAAATGTCGCTATAAATACCCGAAGGTATAATTCCTGTCGGCGATGGAAGCGCTGCTGTTCTCTTTGTACTTGTCTTTGGAGCTTGACGTTCTGGAGAAGTCGTGATAGCATCTATACCTTTCGCATTCCAAGTTCGCCCATTGCAGGGGCTTGCTAAATTAGAAGCTGAACTAGCAAGACGAACGGCCTGTTGCGCACAAGTTAAGCAACTTAAATCGGAAAAGCTTTCTCCTTGCTCAAGGGGAAATCTTAAGGATTCAAATGCTTGCGCTAATTCAACGCTGTCTTGACCACTGTCAACCAGTAAGGTCTTTTTTCTCTGGCACCGTATTAATTCTCTTACCGGGGATCAGCGACTTTTAGCAAAATCGACAATGAGGCTCGCGCTCCATTTCACTCTGTTTTCAGACGGAGCAAAACACCGCTCATCTCCTGTTAATTTTCCCAGGGGTTACTCACGTGCGAAATTGATTGACAGATAACAATCTTACTGACAGATGATCGGCAGGATAATTACAAGAGGGCGGAATAGCGGCCTCAAATGTTTGTCTACAGGCTCTCTCTCTTGCCCCCTTTCCCTTCCCTTTCCTCGCTACTTTTTCCCCAAACAGAGAGTCTGTTCACAGGCTTAGTCAGTCAGTCAAGTCATGAGTATTTACGGATGGGTTTAGATAATTAGTTTTTGTAACTGGGTCACACACATGAGTTTAAAGGGATACATTACATAAAGTAAAGAGAAAAATAAGAAATAATTTACAATTTATTGTTTCCAAAAGATGATGAAAAATAACTATTACTTTATGGTACTAACTACTAATAAATAGGAAATCTAGCTTGATATGAGACCTGGTTATATCGAAACACTTGGATATTTTAGCGATCAAAGGAACGTGTCTAACTGGAAAGTCTTGGATCACTACAGTCTCGGAGATGTTGTACCCTAAAAGACTATGGATTCTACGACGTTTCCAGAGTTAGTAGGACTGGTGGAGGAGTAAGTGTGTTCTTACGGAGAGGTCTCAGAACGCGTAAGGTCGAATCTGTTCCCTTCTCATCTATGGAGTACTTAGATCTTGATATTTCCTATGGCAACTCCACTTTAAGACTTGTAACTATTTGTAGACCACCGCGTTCCAAGAAAAACTGCTCCACACCAGCTACCTTTTCAAAGAGTTCTCCACTACCGAAAACTCTTACCACCGCTTCTGGCCACCTGCTGTTGAACGGCGATTTCAATTTCCACATGGATGTTAACAATGACACTGATGCAAATAATTTCAAAGATCTGCTCGAGTCGGCAGGCCTTGCACAACATGTGAAAGGCCCAAGTCATCGCAGCACACACACCCTTGACCTCATTATTGACCGCCAGAACGATATCGCGCTTTCTTCCTTTACGACTCTGATGGATCTTCCATCCGATCACCACACTGTACTCTGTTCTATGGCGTTTGCAAAGCCCGCTGCCTCCAAGTCACAATTTAAACAGCGTTGCCTCAAAGACGTCGACTTGGACGCTCTCAAGGCAGACATTGTGAACTCTCCACTCGGAGGAAAACTCTAGGACGGCGACCCGGATAGTCTGGTTCAACTCAGTCGTCGTACAAAGAGCGGCTGCCTTTGCTAGACTTACTTCCACTTTCTCTAGATCGTGAACTTAAAGATTTGATCTTTTGTATAAATGCCTTTACTGTAGTACCGATTTAGATGTTCGGAATTATGTATCTTTTGTTTCCCATGATCGTACAAGACTAAGTAACTCCTCTAATCTTCGCACCCCTTTTGGCAAAACATCAACCTTTCAGGCCTCGTACTTTAACCGTATCGTTAAAGTATGAAACTATGTTTGTAAGGTAGCACCCCCAACCAGTTTTTCCTCTCCTACTGCCTTTCAACTTTTTGTTCGCAAATTAATGAGCACTCACCTTTCGCCGGTATATGAAATCAATTACCCCTGCACGTGGACACTAGTCCCTACGTGCCCATGCCACTCGTAATTTATTTTATTTTTTGTACGAATGTTTGAGTACAGTATTCATTTTATTTTATTTTAACCTAGGTCTTAATCTAGGTGCGGTGCCTCGCATGGGACGTTAGTCCCGTTGCACCTAACCCTTTAGGGTTTTTGCCTCTTTTTTCTTTTCTTGTGTGTGTGTGTGTGTGTGTGTGTGTGTGTGTGTGTGTGTGTGTGTGTGTGTGTGTGTGTGTGTGTGTGTGTGTGTGTACAAGAGGAGCACCCAATAAGGGTGTGGAAAAAAAATCTATGATACGGAACTTCGTAAACTAATAGAAGTTTTCTATGAAATTGTCGACTTTTGTCGTGCTTGATATGTGCTCTGAACCTAAACGTTGCTCAGAAAGGCAAAATTTGCTCGGGGTTGCTAGAACCGCAAAAAGTTGCTCCAAATACAAAAAGTTGCTCAAAAGTTGCCAAGCACAATCGGGAAAGGCCTAGGAGCAGGTCAATAACAGAGTCCAGCCTGTAATGGAACTATGGCCAATAACTACGATATTGGGGACAAACGTGAGTGGCCATTGTGGCTCCGCCGCGCGTAGAGAAGTAGCATTTTTGTAGCTGTAATTTTGGTAGAGAAGGGTGTTCGGTTTCAACACGCACGCCAGAAGATCTGTAAAGCTGGTAGTTATCAATAATAATCTGATGATTTTGATGGTATTACCTCCCAATACCCTGTATGTTTACTTTAGAGTATACGTACACGTACCTTTTCTGGTTATGAATAAACAGCTGAAAATTACGATAATTGTGCAAAAGCAATTCATTGCTAGTGGCGGACGTGGAGTAGCTGAACGGGGTTCCATCATTTTGTTTGTCTTCAGTCTTCATCCAGAAACAAACAGTAAATGCTACAAGGCTAGGGAATTCCAGGATAATGACGTAGCCTGATGCACCAAGAATTCTCGAAAATTGGAGCGCGTAATTGTCTGTAAAGCAAAGGAAAAAGTGATAAGTGTCTTAGGATCAAAGGAGAGTTATGTTTGAACACTACAGATAAGCGTTCATTCGATGAACCATTCCGGCCATTTGATCTCGCTGTTCACGTAATATAAGGGGAAGATAGAGCCCATCAAATATGTCGGCCACACTTCACGTGGAATAGCTGTTTTAACACTAACACTCCTTTGACGTTTTGTTTTGATAGCTAGAACTACCCTTGGTTTGTCTTGATAGTTTTTTTACAATTATAGCTTAAACATTGATTACAATAATTTGCAATGTGCGATGGACAGTTTAGTAAAAAGTGCGACAGAATTTGCGACAGGTGCAAATAAAGTGCCATGATTATTAACGGAGCTCCACTTTCCAGCGGAGCCCCATACCTAAGAAAATTTGGTAATCTATCCATCCGAGAAATTTTGGTAATCACGTGAACGTCCGTCCGTTCTTCCGCACCACAGGCAAACCAGTGTGAGATGTCAAACTTTCTTGCTAGTATGGGAGCCTGTAACCTGTGTTTTGCTTGATATAATAAACATAGCACTATGGTCAATTGACAGCTGTCAAAACGGGGTATCCGCTGAACAGAGTCAAATGACCGTATCGCGGTCTCAGTTGTCAATTCCTCGAGGTCACGTGTTTTTTTTTAAAGTTTTCCGCTGACCAGTTAGCTTTTAATCGGTCGCAGGCTCAAGATTATGTTTCTCAGTCATATGGTTCTCTTCTGAAGTTAAGTATAGATTTGTGGATTTCTTTGCAATGGTTTGAAGTCGCTCGTCTGAAGTAAATTTTGAATGCTCGCTTTTAGCGAGGGTTAATCAACATATTACAAATTGCGACAGTATAGATGCTATTTATGAGAGTCATAAAAGCTTAAAATTTAGTTTTACAACGCCGTCTCTCTTCACATACGTGCCTTACCTTTGAACTCTTTTTCCAGTGAACGTGTTTGACACTTGTCCTGCAAATAAAGTGTTGAATTAAGGTAAAAAAAATCACTGCAAAAACCGTGTACGATCAATCTCAACGTGGGATCCAAAAAGGTCGTGATCAGTCAAAATAGATCAAACTGAAAACGTTACAGTCAAGAAGACTTTTGCAGGGATTGATCAAACAACGTGAAATAGTCATATTATGTAATTTCCGATCATTATTTTACTTCATATATATTTCTACAAATTCGTGATATCTGAAAAAAACCTGACGAAGACTGGTATTGGCCAGTCGAAATATCGCAACCAAACTCTATTTCACGTTGTTTGATCAGTCCCTGCAAAAGTCTTCTTGACTGTAACGTTTGCAAATAAAGTGGTGAATTGAATTACTAACTTACTTGCAATTAAGATTTTGAAAACGTGGCTGGTTTATGTCGGAGTTATTTTTGAGACTTGATTTTTCTGAATGACATGAAGACTGACTCGATCTGGAAAAATTATCGGTAACTTGAAAATGAGATAGGTCGAGACCTCGATTTTGTATCCTTAGTAAATATATTATCGTTAATGTGGCTTCAGAAACAGCGATGGGGAAGTTTTCGAAGTATTTTATATGCACAAAATGTACCTTGTTTGTATCCCGCAACTGTTGGAAGACAAATCCACTTGAATGAACACCCCACTTATTGAGATCGAACATGTCATCAACCGCGCAGGAGTTAAGCTCGCATAAACCTTTTTGATGGAAGTTGTAAGAGATGCATCGAGTATCAGCCGAACAAACGAACACACAATGAAGCCAGTCATTGGTGTGCAAGGTTTGGTAAACATGGCCAATAATCCTGTAATTTTTAAAAACTAAACTGTGCTTCTTAGCAAACGCTGTAGAATAAGTACACGATAAAATTGTAAGCAGCACGATCCAAGACATAATCAAAAAACTTCTCTGATTTACCCTTGACAACTGTTTATAATTTCAAGCTCGTCTCATTATTTACGGAACTGTGTTTTGTCTGTAACACCTGCCTGAACGTAATGTTGTTTGTCCCGTACAGAATGCCGATTCAACAGCCTGATACCAGTGTTGTCCAAAAACGTAGAAAATTATAAAAAACTGAAAAGAGGGAGAAGTACATTACTAAAAAATAACAATCAATAAAAAAGTAACATTTTTTTAAAATTTTTTAACAAATGAATATATTTTTGGAGAAGAAGTCAGAGATAGAAGCGAATTAATCTTGACGTGTCAAATTATAACTAGCAAAGAATCATAGTCTGTAGTGAGAATCTTACTAATGGCCTTTCTAAGAAATGTCGAAAAACCTGATCTGTTGTGGGAAACGTTTTTAAACCGTGATCGAGTATCCATCTGTTTTAATATAACTGTATTGTTCTCCAAATTTATTCTTATCACTCTTTGCGTTAGGACAGGTGAAAATGAAAAAAACAAAGATAATAATGAAACAATATGCTAATGCAATTCATAAAGGAATAGGGCCCAAAAGGCCGCCGGAAATGCTGAATTCAGTTAATAAGTAGGCATGAAAAACTACTCTTGAGTACTGGAGAACAACAATACTGCGGCCCCCGGCTTGTGTTAACAAATTGTCAAATAAGGAGTCGTCGACATGCAAATGTTTGTTTCTTTCCCGGTGCTATTGCTAAAATTTACATCGTTTTTATCAATCAAGGTTAAGTCCAGGCACTATAAATGTTCCTGCTTTTCAGATCAATAGGTGTTTAAACCTCGGAGCAATGGTCGTCAACTAGTGCAAACATCTCTGGACATCGTTTCGCTTGCTGATAACATTCATTAATCTTATTTATCTTCCGTGCTTGGGAAAAATGAACAAGACAACAAACGCAATAATATTCCACCGTCTATAATGTCTCTCGTTCCTTATTTTTCAGGGAACGTTACTAATTCAATATTTTTTGTCGTAGCCTATGAACATGAAATTATTGAATCTTGTCTGAGCCGTCGCTCTGGAACAGCTGCCGTATGACAACGTTTCAACTTAAAGGATCATTATTATCTTTTGATCTGCCTTCCCTTAACTCCTGTTATTAATCTGTCTGTCAGTTCTGGAATTATTCGTGATCAACGGAAAATAGTTCGTGTTATAGCTTTGCTTAAATTAGGCGATAAGTCAATCTTTATCAATTATAGATCTGTTTCCGTCCTTCCCGTTTCAATCTTAGAAAGGCTAATTCAAAATCTGCCATTGGACTATTGAACTAAGCATAAAATACTATCGAATCTTCAGTTTGGCTTTCTAAATACGCGTTCATTATTTTGTATAATACGATATCTGCTGCTTTTGATAATGATGATTTTACTGTAGGTATTTTATAGATTTGTTTGAAAGCTTTTGATACGGTCAATCACCAAATTTTATTGCAAAGCCAGATTGTTTTATGATATCAGGGGAATGATTTACGGTTGGTTTGCAAGTTATTTAAGTACAGTCAAACCTCTTTAATACGGAAACCAAAGGGACAGAACCAAGTGTCCGCTTTACAGAGGTGTCCGTATTAAAGAGGTAGGGAATGTATGATTTTTGGCATTTCTGGGACCAAAGGTACTGTCCGTAATAGAGAGATGTCCGTATTATAGAGGTGTCCGTAAGGAGAGGTTAGACTGTAAAAGGTATCGATTATGTTCTATTCAATGATCCTGCTCTTCTCTTTACTTTATAATAATAATAATAATAATAATAATACTCGATATTAGGGCCCTTGCTTTTTCTGATTTATTTTAACGATTTACAGGAAAAAAAAAACCGACTAAAAACCTGCGTTTTTCTAAGTTAGCCTAAAAAGGTTGTTACAAAAATGATAATTAGTACAAAATTTAGGATATATAGGTTCTTAAATAGGTTCTTATTTGCTGATGAAAAAAAATACATTGAAGCTAAGAGCAGTTGGAGTCGGATAAGACACCTACGTCTCCAAAAAGGATTCTGAATTTTGACTAATCTTTTTTTGCCCAAGTGTACAGATTTTTTTTAAAGCGTTTAGTAAATAAAGAACCAGTCTCAAATTTAAGGCTAAATAGGTTCTTCTTATTGAGCTCACGGAAATGGCGTTATATAAATTCTTGTATTATTACTGTATTATTGTATAGAGGGGGCCTAACTGGCAAATTTTAGCCTAACAGGTTCTTAGTCCGTTTTTTTATTGAGACAAAAACGTTACGATGGTATTTTTCTTAAAAAGACTTCGAATGAGGAGCTTTTGAAACTGACAGCTTGTTGTCATCCGGGACGTTATCAATGCTTTTTTTAAAAATCCAAATCAATTCAAACCCAGGCATGCGCAGAAAAGGCATAGCGGACTGGTCACTTTTACCTACTTTCCCGTCAGATCGTCTAGATCGAGCGTTTCGCTTTACGGGCGGCCATTTTGGTTTCAAATGTTCCGAGTCTAAGGGATATAGCCACGTTTTTGGATGTGATCCTTGATGAGAACCTTACATGGACATATCGCTAATGTTGCAAGGAAAGTTTCTTCATTCATTGGAGTAATATCTAGATCAAACTTTTGTTTTCCCGTTACTTCTTCACCTCCCTTTTATTATTCGTAGTTTATCTTACTCTTATATATTGTGTTTCAGTATGAGCATCAACGTATCCCAGTAACTTGAATCGTATTGTTATACTTCAATAACCTGAATAAAAATTATTGGAAGTATTTCTAAAAAAACATTTGATGCTCACACTTTACCTATATTTAAAGATTTACAAATACGGAAGTTCCTGATATTTACCTGTTGCTGTTATTCTGTAAAAAACAATTTTCTAGTTTTAAAGATTTATTACAAGAGGGTCTCAATGGGGTGGTGGCTTTTACGGTTATCGGCTACAATTTTGGCTCTTTTACGGCTATCGGTTAATTTTTTTCAGTTACGGTTAACGAAAAAGTTAAAAATTAACTTCTTTTTTTTTCTAAAAGTTAAATATTAACTAACCCGTATTTTTTTTGTATCTTTAAATCAAAATAAAGGTCTTCGGATCATCTTGGGATGAAATAAACTATTCTTTTGAAAATTTTAACATTTAAAAGATCATACTTTTTATAACGTATTCCACTTCTAATATTATTTTGCACATACAAATGTCAATAGTCAATTTAAAAGTAATCTTTGTGAAAAAGCAAAAGCAGACACGCAAACGCCCAACTCAAAGCCGGGGCGCGACATTCATTATAACAGAAATGGCCGTTTTCACACTAGAGAAGGATTATTCGTGTGAGACGGGTTATCCGTTTGATGATTCGCGTCAGATAGGTAATACGTCTTAATTTGAAAATGGAATAGTTTTAATTTTGAATGAACAATCCGCCTGACTTTTGAAGACGGAATTATCCGTTCCAGATAGCCTGTGTACAGCCGCCCCCTCCCCCTTGAAAAAATCGGAGAAGCGGTGTCTGTGGGGAGGGCGCGACTGTACACAGGCCAGTCTCAGACGGATGATCCATTTCTAGCTTTAGTGTGAAAACGGCCAATAACAAAATTCCCGTGTCCAGTGTTGCCTTGTCCGTAGGCCGCATTATTCCGCGCGGCTAATGTGTCTCGGGTCACGTGGTCCGAGCTAGTTCTCCACCGAAATGCCTTGACCGAGATTGCGTGAGAAAAACAAGGAAATGTTGTTTATCGGCAACGTGTTTTACAAACAGTGACATCTCTGCGTGTTGTTTCACTAATGTTTCGAGGGCATGACCTCCAGAAAATTGCAAATATTAATTCCCAGCAAGAGGTCACACTTTCGCTATGGAAAAAATTAGTTTCCCGAGAGAGCGCCGGAAATGGAGCGTAAGTCTAGGTTAACACCTAAAAGGTGCTTCGCCTAACGTGCGTATGGAGTCACACTAGCGGCGAAATAAAAAACGCAACCATAAGTAAGTTTAGCACCTTCCTTAAAAGTAGCAAATCTAGGTAACAATTTCTTTTACGATTAACTCTTTTTTACCCTATTTACGGCTAACGGTTAAAATTTTTCAATTTTTACGGCTATCGACTAAATTTTTGGCCGTTTTACGCCTATCGGTTAACCCCATTGAGACCCTCTTACAAGTGATAACAAATAGCGACAATTTTGATTACAAGTAACAATGGAACATTCGACGTGTTCCTTTTTTGTTTTTGTTCACATGTTCCACCTTCCTGTAAATAATTACATTAGCAGGTCTTAGTGTTGTCCTTGTATTCAGTTTAAGATTTGGCAGCTGTAACAAGTTCGTTATGTATATAGAAGACAAGCTTGTAGGTCAGTATTTATGGAAATTAAAAGATATTAGATCACACCATATTATCGCATGAAACAGTACTGGGTGCGTCCCAATAGCAGGCAATAGCTTGGCCGTATTCGTTATAATCAAGAGGGTAGAACTCGGTTCTTACGGCCACGACACCTTTCTACATGCAGACATTTGTGTCAACGATAAACAATATACCCGTAAGGCTGCTAGAAAACTAACCTTTTTTTCAGCGGTTATCAAGGACCTAAATAATAAAGACATATAAGTTTTGAAAGTTCTTCCCCCTTCTGCTGCCTTCTGTTGGGACAGGTTTGAGAGATGTTTGAAGATTCTAGGTTACTACATTTTCCTTCGTTAAGAAAGACTGATTGACAATATATTAAGAGCTCGGCAACGAAAAAGCATGTTTCAGTCCTCTACTGACAAATTTTAATGACTAATTTAACTTCACTCATTCATTACCTCACATCATCCTTTGCAAAAAAACACATTATGAATTATCACGACCATAACACTCATTAACGGAAATTTTCCAATCAATTGATTCTTCCGTCAAGGATTTTGAGCAGGTTCTAGCTTGACACGGCTGAAAAACTAAAGATGGTTCACTTTTATGTGGTGATGATGGTGTTGTTCAGTAACTTTTCAGTGTTAGGCCGGGGCAGGTAAGGGCCTGCATTTCGTCACTATTGATAGTATCCTTTCATATCTGTATAGGCGTTCTGAATGAGCGTGGAATTTTAGACACTGGTGGTACAACGGTAAGCTCAAATTCAAGTACTTTTGTTTACAATGATCAAGTTCTTTTGGATTTGACTGAATCGTTTTATTTAGCAAAGTTGCTAATTGTAAGTAATTTTCCCACAAGGAAGAATAGAAAAAGTTAAATTACAAAGCAAACTAAAATATTACAAGGCTAGCTATTACAACTGACCTGATTTAAGCGTTTATTTTACCCGTTTAGAAAGCACTGGTGATCCCTGCAATCTGATTGCATGGCTCTCAGGAGTGTGATTTGTTCACGAATCACACTATTTTTTTCTCTAAATCACTTCTGCTCTAAATCGCGTCATTTCTGTTTTAAATCGCACCATTTTCGCTCTGTATGGCGTCGTTTCGTGTACAAAATGAGAAGTAAAAGCGTTTTTGTTTCCGCTTTTCAACAAAATAGATAAAATAAATTTTGGTACTGTCTGAATTCTACGATTTCAAACTGGTTGTAATAAAATGGTAATTGAACTTCCTGTCCTGCAATTTTGGTCTGAAGTCGTCTTGTGATTCCAAATAGAACTCACGCTGCGGGCTCGTCCTATTTTAAAATCACGCGTATGATTGCAGACCAAATTGAACTCCACTTAGTTCGATTACCATTGCAAGTCTTCTGTGATTGGCTGTAGGGAGCTAATTTGCATCCATGCGTTTATCTCCAGTTAGAGCCTGGAAGCTTTTCCTCATCAGGCTTTGGTCGTCCAGTCAATAAAAAACGAGGAAAACAAAATAAAAATTAAAAAGTTCAATTTTGAACCTAGAAGTTTTACAAAACCAACTCGAAAAGTAATGAATCCCCGTTTCTTTTTAAGAGTTTTATTTGCATCTCGTTTCAAGACAGATCAACTAAGGAAACTCTGCGGAATTAAGTTCTTTTAAAATCGTAACAAATAGACGGTTCACAGAGGGTGACAAGCTTCTTCATAAGAACGGATTTGATTGCAAAACTGATCCAACGTCCAAGATAAAATTGCAGCATAAAGACTAATGGTAACAGTAAGGACAGGTATTGCGACAATAGATGTTTACTATCAGAGACACGTTTGAGTTGAAGAAAGATTCTTTTGTTGCTATTGTGTTTGTGTTCAAGCAACTTGTTCGCTAAGCGAGAAGATACCAAGAGTCTTCGTTTACATCTTTGTGTTTGCTTCTTTATTCTTCATAACTTGTACAGCTCTTACTAACACAAGTAACTCCTAACTCCCGGTCGACTTCTTCTCACTTCCTACCAGATAGTAGCAGTTTTTATAGCCAATCCTCAGGGACATGTTTGGGGTTAGTTGACCAGTGGTACATAAACAAGACAAATAAAGATGTTCTCGTTTTCGGTACATAAGGAATAAAAGGGAATCAATGTCAGATACAATGAGTTTGCTTAGAAAGTGAGGAATGAGGTTAAAATTTTTAAAAATATTCGTAAAGTTTGGTGTTTTGGGATAAAAAAACCCCAAACTCGACGGTTATCTGAATTTAACCACGACATAGTTGTATTTAACAAACGCCGCGCAAAGCTGACAGCACGGGACACTCGTGATACAACCTTTTTATCGTCTTTAAATCTAAACTGCAAACTTGATTGTTACAAGTTTTTATAATTGTTCCTCGTTTTTTTTATTTTTAAGCTAGTTTTTGTTTTTTAATTAATTATAAATCAGTTTTTAACAAGAGAGAATATTTATTCTAGGTATGTGCAGGGTCCCATTAAAGAGCACTTATTGGTAAAATTAGCCCGTCTAAAATATGATTTAATATTATGATTATTGTGAAACCTAGAAAAAGAAAAATTAGCTGAATCCCCCGTTGCTGTTTGTGTAACACCTTCATCTGTTCTTAATATTGATTAGTTTATACAGGCGTATTCTTTCAGGGTATAACATAGGCCCTGGTGATACGACGATAAGTCAAAGTAAAGTTCAATTGTTCCATCAGTATTTCCACAATGAAATCAAAAGGAAAGTGTTACCTTAATCATAATCAAATTCAACAACAATGCAACACCGATTTAAATGTCAAAACCTTCAGAGTAGAACTGGGGAGCTTATGTACATGTAATGTATATGTAAAGTACATAGTACGTTTACATTAAGAAAATGAGTAAATAGAAAAATAGGCACCGTCTGTTCTATATTTGGTTTACTGCAGCCTGGTGATCATCAATAGACAGAAAACTGACAAAAGGCATGAATTAACACAGTGCTGCAATTGATAGCGCTGTCACTTTTGCATAAACGAGCTAGTTAGCACAGCTGAGGGGGAGGGTTGATTCCATATATATAGGAAGAGTTACATTTTCGATACTTACACAAGTCCTGATCAGCCAACATGTTGCTTCTTATGATAATATCATCTGCCCTCGCTTTTACCAACGGTAAGTACACGAACACTTTATTAAATGCCCTTGTTGAGACAATAACATTGTAGCTATAAAAAGCAAAGGAGCTGCCAAAAGAAAAAATACTGACTAATTCACTTCAAGAAACAAAAAATTACTGAGTGGTCTGCAGTTGGTTCTTATTGGTCCCCAGTAAGTAGTCGGAATTGAAGAAACCAGTTAGCTGAAATTAAGTCTTGACATGTATAGTTCAGAAATCAATTCACTAAACTGAATTTAGTCAAAGGTTGATATTTTAAAGAGATGTGATACAAAATTGCGTGAAGATTGGAATTAGGGGATTGCAATTCAATACAGGCCATATCTCAAAAGTTTCACACAAATCACTTTCATTTGTTGACTTCTTAATTCATGGAATAAATATAAACTTTTACCTCAAGTCTCATCCGCCGCAGTGTATCATGACATAATTGACTTTTCGTCTGCTTGTTTGTATTTTCCATTATATCTGTTTATTTCTACTGTTTAGTTGATTTTATTTCGCTCATTGGTTTTTTTCAACTTTCATATCTTTTTAAGCTGCAACAAAATGTGAACAACTCAGCTCCCAAGCCTCACAAAATGGCGGTTTGTTAGGTTCTTTCGTACCCAAGTGTAACGCTGACGGTAGCTTTAGCTCGGAACAGTGCTGGCCTTCTCCCGGGTTCTGTTGGTGCGTGGATAAATTCGGAGAGGAAATACCTGGAACTAAAGTCAGAGGGAAGGCAGACTGTAGCAAGACAAGTACGTTTGCATGTTTTTTCTTTCTGCTTTGCGTGTTTGTTTTTTGCAAAACCAGTCCAGTTAGGTTTTATTAATTTATATCAAACGATGACGTTTATCGTTCAGTCTCTTGTGTATTCTTCTATTATTATAATTGTTAGGGTTTGTTAAGTAGAAAAACTTTCATTTCGGCGTTTGTTGACTGTAGAGAGTATTCATTACCGAACGATTTAAATAGCTTTGAAAAAGCTTACAGTGGTACAGAAAGTGTCTTTTCGTTTACAATGGGCCCATGGGTCCTGGTTGGTCCGTGGTAAGTATTTCATCATTCACCGTTAAAAAATAACGCTGCCTTAAGGTTGAGCTAACACTGGATTATAGATTGATAAAAAGATGTCCTTGTCAAATCTGATTTAAAGCCACAGACATATATCGAAATAGAAACATTCAATGTTTGAAAAAAATTATGATGCGAAGGCCATTCACTTTTCTGCTTTGTTGAGAGTGACGTTATTATTAGTGATTTGTCTTTTTTTCTTTATATTGCTATTACATGTAGTAGTCTGTTATTACCTTCTCGTCCTTTTTAGTATAGTTATCGTATTTAATTTTTCGTACAATTGAGATAAATATCAATAAAAAAGAAAAAGTCTTGTTTTGAAGATAACAGAAAATTTTAGCTTTTATCTTCAAGATCTCTGTGCAACTTTAGCTATTTTTCTAAATCATTTACAAATGTCATGTTCAACCGTAATTTGAAATCATTTCAGAAATCTGTGATTTCTTTTCTTTCTAAAAGAAGCGATTTTTTTCAAAAAAATGCACTAATAATAAACTGCGATAAAATATTACTTAAATTCATTATAATAAATTGTTTTTTTTTAAATTAGGACTTTCAAGGAACGGACTTCTGTTCCAGCGATTTCTCTAAAATTTACTTGGCATATTTATGTATCACTAAAAGCCGATACCTGAATTTGTTATTATTACCGAAGGACACCTGAAGTCCTTTTCAAAGTTTCGCGGCCATCGCGTCTGAATGTTTAAAAAAAGGTATGACGAAAAGTTCGTCAAAGCTCAATGCGTCGGTTCTACCAATGTGTATTTTATGCTATGGCTATTCCGAGTGATTGCTTTAGCTGCGTGTCTGGGGTAAAAGTCAATAAATCCAATTAATTCCAAAACTGAAGGACTATGGATAGGGTCGCTAAAGGATAATACGATAAAACCTTTTGGCATCAAATGGCCTGACGAAGCAATAAGGCCTAAGGAGTCTTTTTCACATCTCATCAAAATCTGCTGCTCGAAAACCAATTCAAAGAGAAAATAATTAATGATAGATTTATTGTAATCGAGGGGTCTTTCAATTTATGGTAAATGCTAACGGTTTTCAAATCACTCCCTTCTAAGTTTGTTTACACCTCCTACTCCATGCCCTTTCTAAACTTTATAATAAAGGAATTAAATGAGTTTATTTAAGACTCGCTTTTTATGGAATGGCAAAAATAAGGTGACCATATTGTCTGCAATTAACAGCCATGAGGAAGGCATCCTCGGAGACCCAGGGGCAGTTAGTCGGGTCGATAAAATGTTCGTGGTGAAAGTTTACTGTAGGATCGAGACGAGCTCGTCTCGATCTTACAGTAAACTTTCACCACGAACCTTTTATCGACCCGACTAACTGCCCCTGGGTCTCCGAGGATGTGAGGAAGGAGGCCTTACCATGATCGATATAGAGTCCACTATTCGAGTTCTTAGTCGATCTAAAACGTGCTTGGTAAATATAAAAAGAGTCCAATTCACCTCGAATAAATGTGCATGGAAACTATATCTCAAGCATTGATATCTAAAAATGTGGTTCTCCTGCTATACAGTTGGAATTATAACGACATTGATGACCTTTCGATTCAATCACTGTTCTATTGTGAAGAAGTATTTTAGAAGGCATTTGCAGCAGATGAGGACAGGCTGGCGTCTCATAATCACACTGTTGACTTACCTCAGAGTATCACGACAAAACTCCTTTCGTCTGCTCGTTTTTATTTTTCATTCTCGTAGTTGATTTTATTTCGCTCATTGTTTTTTTCTACTTTCGTATCTTTTTAAGCTGCAACAAAATGTGAACAACTCAGCTCCCAAGCCTCACAAAATGGCGGTTTGTTAGGTTCTTTCGTACCAAAGTGTAACACTGACGGTAGCTTTAGCTCGGAACAGTGCTGGTCTTCTACTGGGTTCTGTTGGTGCGTGGATAAATTCGGAGAGGAAATACCTGGAACTAAAGTCAGAGGGAAAGCAGACTGTACCAACAAAGGTAATGTCGTGTAATTTTCAGCAAGATATGAACCGGGACGATATATCCCTGGATTATGTGCGCTAACAGCTTAGCTGTCCCGAAGAACGTTCCTTTAGAAGATATGTTTGACCAGTTTGGCTTTACAACTGAGCCGGGAAGTAGGATAAGAAACAATAACTAACTAACACAGTTGAATTCCCTTTTGTATATATAGCAGATTAAACTGTTCTACTGTTTTCATCACACAATGAGAACTGAACTAGAAAAAGCACATACGGGTAGTGGTCTTCTTATTTTGGCTTAATAAGGAAGGTTGTGGATATTTCTCTCAAAAAATGACCAACCGTATAGATATCATGGTCTGCTTGGTCAAAGTTACTATGCCGACGGACTAAGCAGAATTTCAAGTACGCCTACAAAAGAACTGGCCGCCAAAAAAGCTAGAATTTCACTAGGAGACGATGGGTTGGTTATTTAAACGAAGTCTAACCGTAACTTAGGCCGTGGTTTACGAATGTCTCTTTCTTAGTGAGTTAATTTAAGAAGAAATGTGCTTTTCCAGTCTACGCCATGTGCTTTATTGAAATTGCTCACCACAGATGGTGTTTAGACAAAAGCGTTGGGCAATGATAATGGCTTAGAACGCGGTTTTGTTAAACACGGGCTAAACTCTGTTTAAATAACTGGTCCGATATGTTTCTATTTTGCGAGGTTGTTTATGCGTTTGGAAAGCCTGTTTTGGTCTGCCATCTTGTTTAGGGTACACAAGAGCCCGGAGATCAAGAGATATTTTCTGAAATACTAAATAAATTTGTTGTTTCCATTGTAGGCCAATGAAGCCTACCTGCAGCTGTTGATCAATATTACGGAAAGGTTTCAAAAAAGCAGAACTAAATTATTGAGTCTATGAAATAAACTTGCATGATTGACTGAAGCTTCATTTGTGTGGGTCGTCACTCTTTTTTGGTAGAAAAGACGAAAGGATCATTTAGATTGTTTGTTTAATTGTTGATATGCCTCGTATCCAGTATCCTCTCCTAACTGTTTGCATGTGTTTGGGAAGAATACTTCATCCGTTTCGTTCTCTGGTAAGGGTAATCACGGGTAGTGGAAATGACAACAGTAGTTGTACGCCATGTATTAACGGTAAAGTCCGGTGTCGGACGTCAGTATACAATGGGGCCACTGGCTGCCTCTACTGATGGGTCCCTTTTATGAGCTTGGGGTCAGTGATATTTGTGGTAAGTGGTCATAAGTGAGGTGACAAAAGAGGAAGAAGTAGACCAACCGACGAGACTTTCCCCACTGTACTGTTTTCGAAGTAGTTTGTGTGATTTGAAGTAATATATCAAACATGAGATGCAGTGTTTCATCACCAGATGAAACACCGAGAAGAGAGTTGAAAATACGACGCGCAGCGGAGTATTTTTGACGAACTTCGAGGTGTTTCATCTGGTGATGAAACACTGTGTCGAATGTTTGATATTTCTTCTCAAACAAAATCATTTTTGAAGGAGAAATTAAGGATGCAAGAATGAGCAGTTTTTCATCTGATATCCAAACACTCATTAAACATTAATTTCCTTTGAATTTTCTTTATGAATTATTAATGAGTTTGAGAAGTCCCCTTCTTAGTTCACAGTTGCCTAGTCCCTAGGCCTCATTATTTCGTACGGCCAAAGCGTTTCGGGTCACGTGGTCCAAGCGAAAATGTGAGGCGTTTCCCGCCCGTTCGCCTCAGATACGTCACCGAAATGAATTGACCGATAGGGACTGGGAAAACGCCGTACAAGGACTAGGAAAAGTTCATAGCTGATGAAAGAGAAATGAAGGAGACAAGCTCCATAATCTGTACACAGATAATGATCCTTAACACAGCCAGCATGACTTTCCGTTTTTTTTAACCCTGACCGGGCTTTAAATCTGGGCCTCCCGTATTACGAAATATTTGGTTAACTGTTTACGTACCTTATTGGTTATTAATTTCGCGGGGTTTTATTTTCGCGATTTCAGCAGGCAATTATGAAAAAAGGGTAGCCTGCGAATACAGCCGTTTCTCCTTCAACTCCACGCCGCTGTTGCTGCAGGCAACTACTGACTGGCTGCCTTATTCCGGCACATACAATCGTCAGACTAAACTTAAACTGGAAAAAGATTATAGTTCAATCGTTATTACAGTTTATAAATCTAAGGTGAAAATTTCCAATGATATCTAGTGAATAATGCTGTAATTTCAAGCAATCTTCCACAATCAAAGGCAATACTACGAGGCAAAGATGGAGACCTTGCAAATCTATGACATAAAGGAAACATCAATGAAGACGTCAGTGGGAAAAATAATACAGATTTCCCAAACTAGAGAACTTCGAAAATAAATAGACTAGTTCAATTTGTAGACTTGTAGTTTCCATTGGCCGATGACGTGCTGCAAGAAGAGTGCGTGACAGCCAAGTACAAAGCTACCCTTATAATGACACAAACGTAACGTCAGACGAATATTTGAAGTTGCTTCTAGTAGTTGAAAGTTAAATCATTGATATCTCAAGTATTTATAAAGTGCAACGCGACTTCACATCTTAACAACTGCGAGAATCTATCAACCTAAAATATACAACAAAGTGAATCTGCAATATCGAATCTATTTACCGTAGAGTTCCAGTAATTGCGTCAACGTTCTGAGAAACGTTATGCCTCAATACACCACTAAACAGGATTTCCTTCACGTCCTACTCTATCGATGGTCGAGTATTCTTCAGGGTATTTGCTTTTTAATACGCGTGTATGTAGACACGAAAATAAAGGGCCTTGATTTGGGGAAAATTACATCATTGGCAAAAAGCCAGAACGTGATCAACTACGCGCATCACCTTAATCGTCGCCGAAAATAAACCACACGCTCATCACGAGTCTCATTTGCATAAAATGAAAGTCGTCACGATCCTTATTCCCAGTTTTCACGGTCTCCGCTGCGAACGCCTGGGAGCACGACCTCCCTTTTGTGTCCCAAATACGAAAAAGAAAAACGGGTTGCAGATTTTGACTCTCGGTGCTACAGAACGTATATCTTTTACTATAGTTCATTTTATGCACACTTTAGCTTTGGAGATTTATAGGACTCTTAAGAAAAGCATTTTTTGTGACTCTTACAAACAGCGTTTTTAAGAGCTAAAAGAGTCCTTTAAAAGTCCTTAAAAGGACTCTTACGAACGGCGTTTCTAACAGCTGTTACGAAATGCGTTTTAATAAATGTCGCGAAGAGCCTTTTTAAGAACTCTTACGAAAGGCGTTTTTAAGGAGTCTTAGAAACGGCGTTTACAAGGATCTTAGGAACGGCGTTCATAACAGGAGTCTTAGCAGCGGCGTTTTTAAGGAGTCTTAGAAACGGTGGCCGTTATAAGGAGTCTTGCAAACAGCGTTATAAGAGTCTTACGAACGACTTGGTGGAAATAACTTAGTTTTTGAGGATTAAATTATCTAATATGCCCACTCAGTAGACAGGATTTATATAGCTGGGCGTTGTGGATGGTAGTAGTATGTTATACAGGGTGTGCCATCTTTCCTTTTCAGTGCTTTTCTTGCATGAGGGTCTGTGCACAGCTACTGATAATGATCCGCTAATTCATTGAGTGGAGTTCCTTCTAATCCCCTTTTTTAACTGTATGTACTGTCAACGACACCTCACGGTTACGGACACTCCTATAATACGAACAACAGCTAGATGCGTAAGAAATAGACTGCAGACCTTTAACAAAAAATAAAAATAAATAAATTATGTTGGGCACTAACTTGAGATCCCGAAATTGTACCGCACAATAGCAGACCAAGACTGTATTACAATATCGGAACACAGTTACTGTTGCAAAATTTATGTTACAAAAAATACGCATCCTTCGCGGAGACGTGTCCTATTTCCTTTGTTACTTCGGAAACAAGGCAAATAGGAGACGTCTGCACGCAGGCAAAAAAATACGCTTGCCGTTACTTCTGTTCATCAACGCTGTTTCTGTGTGTTTTATTTTTATCCAGTTACGATGGCCTAACAACAAAAATTTGCGCCGGATTTTAAGCTTCTTTCAAGGAAACACAAGTTTTCCCTTATTCCGAAGGGCGGGTTTGTTGAGTAGTCCGCCCGGGTTTTAGACAAAGGATCATGACGTCTCAGCGACCCCCTCCATTCCCCAAATCCCCCAACGGCTGGAATTGTGTCATATTACCTAAATATCCCTACACCCAACAGGTCTGTAGGAACGAAGGTTAGCACTGCTAATGGCGCCTACTCGACTGTTGTGGGCCGAGAGCCCATCCCCGCGCCCTCGCCAACTCTTAAAAGTCGAATAAGCTCTAATGCAGACTGGGGCATTCATTTTTAAAAGCACCTTTAAATACAATTTGTTGCCAATTTCAGGCTATCCTCAGGAATTTTTAACCTGTATTCTAGCACGTGAAAAAATATGATCTGCTACGTAACATTTGCAAACTTTGTCTTTACCTAATGACGAGAATACTAGCCAAGCCGGTATAATATAGATATTATGTTAATGATGTATATGAAATAAATCATATAAGAACTGCGGAAATGAAATCAAATGAAGAATGATCCTTGCAGTTGTGAACGCAATGTAAATTATGCAATTGCGTAAGAAGCTTGAAAAAAAATTCAGGAGTTCAACGGGATTTAGCATCGCACCGGTATCAAATCCTGTTGAAGTCTTGAATTTTTTATTCAGGCTTCTCTTACGCAATTGCGTAAATTGCGTTAACAACTGCGAGCGGACCATTCTTCATTTAACAAATATCATAGATGGGCTGTACCAGACGATAGAAAAATAAAAGGGACCGGTGTCCGCCGAGTGTCCACTCAAAAGTACGTGATTGTGACAGTGGAGGTTATTGGCCTTTATACAAACCAGTATGACTGAAGTGTCCAAATTTTGACAACCTGTAAGGGTTTCTGGCGACAAAATCGTTAGCAACATCAATTATAGCCTGTTCCAGGCTCTCAGATAGTGGTACGCAAAAACTTGGCGGGGTGACAAAAAGGAAAAAGGATAGGAAGCCCCTACTCCCCCCAGTTTTCTCCCGTTTTATTTTCGTGTTTGCGCTTTCTCAATTCAGCGGACCCGACTATCTCGGAGCCTGGAACAGGCTACAACAATTAGATTTAGGTTGTCCGCGTCTTCCTTGTATACTGACATCAACATAAGGTTGTCAGGCATCCTTCCTTTGCATTATGGTAGACCTAAGGTAATTATCGATTCTTCTTAAGGCACTGAATAACCTTTCACTCAAAAACATTTGCGGCAGGCATAACTAATATCAGTTTCACCAAAACTGTTGCAATCTCACTGAATAAGTCTATCATGGATGACACAAAGGCTATGGAACTTTCTTGAGCATTCATTTTCAAAATAGAAAGTTGCGTTTCAAGAAGTCCCATGTTGAGTCCCATGTTTATATCTGAGCCATAAAAGTTACAGATTGATAATAGCTCACTTGAGAAATCGTCTCCTGAAGCTCTATTGAGTGGCAAGTTTTCAACATTAGTAGAGACTTTTTCGGGGACTTTATACCGTAGTAAGCGGGTTCAATATGGAGAAGATGTAAGACCTTTCTTTTCCTGGGACAACGCTCCCTTGTGCTTGCACTCGATGTAGTTTCTCACATCCCTCCGGTGTGATGTTTAAGTAGCACTTAAGAGCTGCGAAGAGTCTAGAATTTTTTATTGGGGAAATGTTATTGAAAATCGTCAGGAGCCGTGTTGTTTCTTACACTCCTTTAGTGTCTAGAGGTCGTTAAAAGCAGTTTCCAGCCGTTTCCAAGTGATTTTGAGGGGGGTCTTCGTTTTCTACATACCGGGGGGATTGTGTAGAAAGCGAAGACCCTGGTCGAAATTTTGTATAATTGAAAATCGTCGGAGCCGTGTTGTTTCTTACACTCCTTTAGTGTCCAGAAGTCGTTAAAAGCAGTTTCCAGCCGTTTCCAAGTGATTTGGGGGAGGGGGGGGGGGGGGGGTT